CCCGGCCATCTCCTCCGGCCGATGTCAGCATCCGGCTTCTGTGTTCCGGTCCCTGTGACGTCGGGACGTACGGCGGGAAATTTGAAATTTTTTTAAAAATGTCATTTTTGCTGTCATTGCTGTTTCAATGCATTTCACATATATTTTGTCCCTACTGCTTTGTCCTGTGCCCTGCCTGCCTGTTCTTTCTGCCTGGAAACTTAGAAAAGTCCATGGCGTCCAAAAAGCGTCCCTTTACGTCAAAAGCGGTTTTAGAACAGCGATAGTAAATCAGAACCACTTGCAGAATTGAGTGATAATGATTCGTGGGGAAATTCGGCATCAGACACTGAAAACGATTTTGCGACTTTGCTCAGCGATGTGCGAATTTGCCTCTGTATTTCAAATTTCAGTGTTTTTGGTTTGATTATATTATTGAATTAAATTTATTATTATTATATTATTATTTTTTATGATTATTTATTAAATTATAATTTATGATTTCGTGTTTCAAGTTTTATCATATCCGGAATGTTTACTAGACTCTTGTTCGTACAGATTTCAGTGAGTTATTCCTAAAAATTACAGCCTACAATAAAAAAACTACATATTTCCATGCAAAGAAATGGTACCAAAGCAGCACAAAAAATCGGAAAGAATCATACTGCCGAGGAGGTTACTATAATTGCATTTCCATGTTCTGTATACTGTGGAAGACCAGATATAGTGAATTCACGGTCCTGGGTCCTTAGTAACACTTTAACTATAGGACTTTGAATAACTTATTTTTTTTATGTACCTGGAATGTATTTGCAGGTTCAATTGGACTTTCAATTTTTTTAGATGTAAACATATCTCTTCCTGTGTTAAAATTTAAACATTTATTTTGAGTAATTTAACCTAATATTAGCATTCTGTTTTTCAGCTTAAATCTTTCCTAACTTGATTCCTTTTCTGCAGTTTTGATCACATTCCTTATACTTAAAGTAAACACATACTGTTTAATTTACATGATCCCTTCTCTTTCTGTATGTGGATGATGGCACTGTATTTAATTTAATTAACAAAACATCTAAGTACCTTCTTTCTTATATGATATACAGTTTTCACATGACCCAGCTCTTTCTCAGTCCATCTGCAGGGATACATAAGCAGGAGGAGCTTCTAGTCCTCTGCTGCTGGTCACATGTTAAAAAAAACAGCCTTTGGGAATGAGTAAAATGATTAATATTATCAATAAACTATTTTAAATAGTCATATTAATACAGTATGTATTTAAAATAAAATATTTTTTATTTTTGGCAATAACGTGGTGTGGGATGATTTCTGCCTACCAAAGGCTGTGTCAAACCCCTCCAGCTTGTGTCTTCACATCAATCAAGATGTAATATTCCCCCCTTCCCCATTGTGTTTAGCTGGTTAGTGGGCATGGAGGAGGTGGAGGGGAGATATCATTTACCACCATGTATATGCCTACACGTGTGACTTTATAGTTACATGGGCTGTTCAGATGTGATAAGGAGGAAATGCTCAGGATAGGAATACACTGAAACACCGAGCTTGTGAAGTAGCTGCCTACAGCTGCTCTGCAGAATCCCCAACTGCATTGGGGACATGGACTGGAGGGGGAGACAGAGAACGTTTTTTTTGCAGAATACAGAAAACAAATCCCATAGTGACTGAATGAGTATGAACAGCATTAATATAGCATTTATTGAGAGTTTTTAAGGATGTGGGTATAATAACACTTTAATGAATAATGCATCAGTGCCCTCGACCTTTAGGATTTTTTGCCATTCTACTTTATATCATTCAAAACGTTCCTATTCAGCCAATTATATTTTCTTTTATTCCTAGAGTTTTTCCCCTTACAAAATGTACTTGCTACACTATTTGTTTGAAGGATTTTTTAAGTACCCCATTTGTCTTCAGTTCCTTACTTTACCTGTACATCTTTCCCGTTTATAAGATTAAATATGCCTCTGAGATGTTTAAACCTTGCTGACAATTTCCTAGTTCTTCTTTTTTTTTCTAATTCTGTTGTCCAAACTGTTATTGAATACCAGCTCCAATGTAACCATAGTGTTGCTATTGTTTCTCAATTCTGTTTACTTCTCTAAAGTATCAGAATATGCCATGAAAATTATAAACAATCTGAAGGTAATTGACAAATGGTACCTAGTGAGTTAAAACACACAAAAGTCACCCACCATGTCCCCAGATATACAGTATAAGCATTATTCAAGGATTGACTGAGAAGTCAGAATGTACTATATATCCATATTGGTGTTACAGCATGGCAACAAACAAGCTGCTAAGAAACACATGTATATCTTCAAATCTGCTTAGCAAGTAAATAAAGGCTTTACTAATTGTTGGTTGATGAATGTCCATGTATTGAACATAATATTCCAACAGAATTGGCAGGCAGTCTAGATGAGAGATGTGGAATGACAGGTGTTTACAGTCCACCACAGACAGGTAAACATTTGTGTAGTACCACATTCCCATGTGCCTGAGAAAGGGAACACTACTTTGGAAGCTCCCTGTAGTCCAGAGGCGGAAAAGGTAAGATAATGGAATATATGAAGGCAAAATACCATCATTTCATGATTGCATTACACCTCCCTCACAAAGGTATTTCATGAATCAAAGGGCAACTTTTGTTCTTGGACCAGTCCTTAATATATATGATAATTCAAAGCAAGAAGTTTCCATTTGGTAAGCCTTTCTCATACAATGATACTTGAACAAAAGTGAGCTGCATAGTTGAGTTACCAGAAAGAAGCCTTTACTGCACCAATGCCACAAAAAAAGCCCGGTTACAATTTGCCCGACAACACCTTGACATGCCTCACAGTTTCTGGTACACTGTAATCTGGAGTGACGAGACCAAAATCGATCTTTATGGTCACAACCATAAGCACTGTTTGGAGAGGGGTTAACAAGTCCTATAGCAACAAGGCTACCATCCCCACTATAAAGCATGGTGGTGGCTCACTGATGTTTTGGGGGTATGTGAACTCTAAAGGCACAAGACATTTTGTGAAAATGGATGGCATGATGAATGTAGCATGTTACCAGAAAATACCGGCAGACAATTTGCATTCTTCTGTTTGAAAGCTGCCCATAGGATGCTCTTGGACTTTCCAGCACGACAATGACCATAGGCACAAGGCCATGTTGACCCTACAGTGGTTACAGCAGAAAAATGTGAAGGTTCTGGAGTGGCCATCTGACTCCTGACCTTAATATCATAGAGCCACTCTAGGGAGATCAGAAACATGCAGTATGCAAAATGACCAAAGACATTGCATGACCTGGAGGCTTTTTGCCAAGATGAATGGGCCACCTGCAAGAATTCGGTGCCTCATAGACAACTATTACAAAAGACTGAATGCTGTCACTGATGCTAAAGGGGGCAATACACAGTATTAAGAACTAAGTTGATGAAGACTTTTGAACAGGGGTCATTTCATTTGTTTATTTGTTGACATGTTTTGTTTTATGATTGTGCCATTCTGTTATAACCTACAGTTGAATACGAATCCCACAAGAAATAAAAGAAATGTGTTTTGCCTGCTCACTCATGTTTTCTTTAAAAATTGTACATACTGTATACATTCTCCAAGGGTATGCAAACTTTTGAGCAAAACTGTGTATGGAAAATTGATCAGTCCCTATGTACTGACAGCCTCATCTCCTTTCTTAAGGTACTAAAATGCCAGGACAGTACAAATACCCCCCAAATGACCCTTTTATGGAAAATAGACAGTCCAAGGTAAATAGTAAAAGGCATAGTGAATTATTTGAAGTTGTAACTTTATTGTCACAATTTTTTGTAAAAAAAAAAAAATTTAATAATTTTTTCTCACAAAATTCTCATTTTAACAAGCTATTTCTCACACATATCATAGGCTTAGTTATAATTACAGTCCCAGCACATTCTGTTGTGCCTCCTGAGTATGGGTATACCACATATGTGAGACTTTTTCACAACCTAAATGCATAGTGGGGCACAAAATGCAGAGAGCGCCTTTAGGCTTTCAAGGAGCAAAAATTATGCATCTAATTTCTTGACTACCTATCATATTTTTGAAGGCCTTGGAGCATCAGGACAGCAGAAACTCCCACAGAATGACTCTATTTTGGAAAACAAAGACTACAAGGTATTTTCTGAAAGACATAGTGGTCTTTTGAAAATTTCATTTTTGCTACAAGTTTTTGGGAAATGAAGGAAAGAAAATGAAAATGTATTTTTTTTATATGAAGTTTGCAATGAGTAAGATACACTATATTGCCAAAAGTATTGGGATGCCTGCCTTTCCACGCACATGAATGTTAATGTCATCCCAGTCTTAGTCCGTAAGGTTCAATATTGAGTTGGCCCACCCTTTGCAGCTATAACAGTTTAAGCTTTTCTGGGAAGGCTGTCCACAAGGTTTAGGAGTGTGTCTATGGGAATGTTTGACCATTCTTCCAGAAGCGCATTTGTGAGGTCAGGCACTGATGTTGGATGAGAAGGCCTGGCTTACAGTCTCCACTCTAATTCATCCCAAAGCTGTTCTATCGGGTTGAGGTCTGGACTCTGTGCAGGCCAGTCAAGTTCCTTCCTCCCCAAACTCGCTCATCCGTGTCTTCATGGACCTTGCTTTGTGCACTGGTGCACAGTCATATTGGAACAGGAAGGGGCCATCCCCAAACTGTTCCCACAAAGTCTGGAGCATGAAATTGTCCAAAATGTCTTGGTATGCTGATGCCTTAAGAGTTTCCTTCACTGGAGCCCAAGCCCTGAAAAACAACCCCACACCATAATCCCCCCTTACATTTGGCACAATGCAGTCAGGCAAGTATCGTTCTTCTGGCAACCACCAAACCCAGACATGTCCATCGGATTGGCAGACAGAGAAGCGTGATTCAGCACTCCAGAGAACATGTCTCCAATGCTCTAGAGTCCAGTGGCAGCGTGCTTTACACCACTTTGCATTGCACTTGGTGATGTAAGGCATGGATGCAGCTGCTTGGTCAAGGAAACCTATTCCATGAAGCTCTTTATGCACTGTTGTTGTGCTAATCTGAAGGCCACACAAAGTTTTGAGGTCTTTAGTTACTGACTCTGCAGACAGTTGGCGACTTCTGCGCACTTCAGCATGCGCTGACCCCACTCTGTCATTTTACGTGGTCTACCACTTCGTGACTGAGTTGCTGTTGTTCCCAGTTCATCACCTTTGTTATAATACCACTAACAGTTGACCGTGGAATATTTAGTAGCAAGGAAATTTCACGGATGGACTTATTGCACAGGTGGCAACCTATCACGGTACCATGCTTGTATTCACTGAGCTCCTGATAGCGACCCATTTTTTTCACAAATGTTTGTAGAAGCGGTCTGCATGCCTAGGTGCTTGATTTTTTACACCTGTGGCCATGGAGGTGATTGGAACATCAGAATCCAATGATTTGGATGGGTGTCCCAATACTTTTGGCAATAAAGTGTATTTCTCCCACACAGCATAGACATACTTAGAATTACACCCCAAAACATATTCTGCTACTCTTCCCAGGTATGGGGATACCATATGTGTGAGACTTTTTCAATATTTGTACTGATAATATAATGGACATTGCATCTTGTGTATCACACAAATCAACCAATTGTATCAAAACTAATCTACTGTAATGGTCGCCTCTAAATGAGTGGTCAGGGAATATAGCTTAGTGTAGCATCACCTATAGCAGTTCCAGTACCTATAAGGCAAGCAAGACTAGCCTACTGGTACATGGCTACTCCCAGGAATGCCATTTTCAGTGGCCAGGAAGTACAGAAGGCTGAAGAAAGAAAGAATAAAAGAGTCCCTGTGGTTTCAAGAGTGCAGTTGTCTGCAGAGGATGACTGGGATTGGTCTCTCACAGGGACCTAGTCAGTTGGATGTGCAGATCGGTCAGTTCAAGCTGCAGGCAGAGACATGGCTAGCAAAGAAGCAAAAGATTGGTCCAGGCAAAAGGTGTCCCTGGTGTGGCAACAATCAGGGACACCGTTGCTGGTTTAGACTGAGATGGTGACACTGGTGTAGTGTTGATCACTGTAACTGGTGTGGCAGGGATCAGGGACACTGTAACTAGTGTGGTAGTGATTAGGAACAATGATTTGTGTGGCGGTGATTAGGGACACTGACTGGTAGCACTGGTCTGTAACACTGTACCGCTGTGGCGGTGATCAGAGATAATGACTGGTGGCACTGACATATGGTGATATCAGAACAGCTAGCCATTGTACATGATCTCCGCCACCACATCACAATGTCACCAGATTGACACTGCACTTGTTCTGTTGACAGTATGTAAAAAAAAAAAAAAATACTTTTTTTTTTCACTTTTTTTTTTTTTACACATTTTTTTTACATATTGTCACCAGAGTAGTGTAGTGATACCTTAGTGACACTTTACTACTCTGCAAACGTGAATGGGATTTTTTTTGTTTTGTTTATACGACCATGATGGCTATGTAAGCAACCATTTCTGACAATGATTGGCTGCATTCCTACAGCTAATGAGAACTACTGTGATAGCTGTAATTGATCACAGCTATTACATGATACAGGGCCACTGTGACTGGCCCAGTACCATGTGATCACTCACAGAGATCACAGTAATAAGCAACGCCATCTTGAATGACAACCATTGTTTACTGCTGGACATGTGATTTCTGTGATTGGTCACAAAAATCACATGGTACCAGGTTTGAACAACGCAGCCCTGTACACAGATTTGTGATCCCATGTGTCCACTGTACATAGTGGTGACAGATTGCGCTGCTGTGTGCCCCTGGCGGTGCACACGATGTGCAGTTCTGGGAGGACTTGTCCTGCCTGGCTGTATGTACAGTGGCTGAGCAGGAAGCGGTTAAGCTGACCAGCAGAGTTTTGATCAGTGTATGGCCACTGTGGTTGAGCAGAAGTCAGAGCACTAATTGACTTATGTACAGCAGCCCTATTTGGAAATTTCTTCTGGATCAGAGCTGCCGGCCAAAGTCTCCCCTCTGTGAGAATACAAATTAACAGCAGGGAGGATTCCCTCATCCACCTCAAATGTGTGGATGGGGGAATCGGTCAGTTTTTTTTTTCAATCTGTTGGTTGAAAGAAAAAAAACTGACTCCCCTATGGCCAGCTTTATTGCTTTTTCTCACAATTCAAGTCTATGAGTCATCCTATGTGGTTGATATCTTATCATAATAACAGTTGTTAGCAAAGGAGACAAACTGACTGCAATTTAGGTGTTTGCTTTCACTAATGACTAATCTATAAATATATATGTACAGTAATTCAATACATAAATATGAAAAAGCAAGCATGGTCAAAGAAGGAAATCACACTTATACAGCCCCTGGCAAAAATTATGGAATCACCAGTCTTGGAAAATGTTCATTCAATTGTATAATTGTGTAGAAAAAAAAAACAATCACAGGCATGCCTCAAAAGTATTTTCATTTAACATTCCAACCTTCTGGCTTTAAAGGATAAGTTCACCTTTGGGAACATGTTACATGTTCCATCTGTTTTTAGGGTGAGAAAAGTTTCCCCGTACTATCTGTCAGATTTGAAAACAGTGCGGCTGTGCTGGGCTTCACCCACACGGCCACATCATTCATTCATGGACTTCCGTGAATGAATGAACTGCAAGTCCCAGCAGCCTTAGCGGCTGTCGGCTTGTAGTTTTCAATGAACTACTACTGGCAGTTCATTGAAGTTTCCTGTCCATATATCTGCTTGACAATACATCTCGTACGGCAAGCAGATATTCTGACAGGTCTGCAGGAGACCTGCATGGCATCAGCAATCATCTGATCACTGGTTCAATGCTTTCCAGGCTCCTCTAGACAAAAATATTAAGTGCAAAAAAGTGCGTTTATTATTTTTGTCTAAAAGGTGAACTTATCTTTTAAGAAACACTTAAATAAAATAAAAAAGAAAACTGTAGTCAATTGCAACTGTTTTTGCAGATCAAGCAGAGTAAAAAAAACATGGAATCACTCAATTCTGAGGAAAATACTATGGAATCACCATGTACTTTACAGTTCTAAAACAAACATCTGCATCAGATTACATCTGCTAATTAGTCTGCAGTTAAAAAAGAGTGCTGGAACACCTTGGTGAGCTGTTGCACCAAGTTGATTGACATGAATCATGGTTCCAACATGAGAGATGTCAGTTGAAAACAAAGGAGAGGATTATAAAACTTCTTCAAGAAGGTAAATCATCACGGAATGTTGCAAAAGATGTTGATTGTTCCCAGTCAGCTGTGTATAAAATCTGGATCAAGTACAAAGTAAATGGGAAGGTTGTAAAAGGGAAGTGTACTGGTAGACCAGGGAAGACATCAAAGCTTCAAGATAGGAAACGTAAAGCAATATGCCTTGAAAAACAGAAAATGCACAACAAAATAAATGAGGAACAAATGGGTAGAAACTGGAGTCAATGTCTGTGACCGAACTGTAAGACATTGCCTAAAGGAAATGGAATTTACATACAGAAAAGCCAAACGAAAAACCATCATTAACACCTAAACAGAAAAAGAGAAGGTTGCAGTGGGCTAAAGAAAAACAATCATGGACGGCGGATGACTGGATGAAATTGATATTCAGTGATGAATCATGAATCTGCATTGGACAGTAAATTCGATTTGGAATCTACTTGTTAGACGCTTTCTTTAGTAAATGTCTTTCCGTCTAAAAGTAGACGGACGCTATTGAAAAGTAGACGTTAGCCCACAAAAATGCGCCTAGGCACATTAGTAAATCAGGGCCTAAGGGTCCTTTCACACTGGTGTTCCATTTTTTTTATCAGTTCAGTCACGTTTTTTCAAAGAAAAAACTGATCAGTTTACATCCGTTTTTTTCATCAGTTTACATCGGTTTTTCATCAGCTTACATCAGTTTTTTTCATCCGTTTTTCATCTGTTTACATCCATTTTCGTCCGTTTACATCTGTTTTTCAACCGTTCCGGGTTTATTTTACAAAAGTAAATAAAACCCTATTTTCCGTTAAAAAAACTAGTCCATAGAAATACATGGGTGTCCATTTTTCATCCATAAATGGACAGATGAAAAACGGACATATGGAATGCCCATGTGAAAGAGGCCTGACAGGTTTTTTCTTGCCCTGTATTTGACTAGTTCCATCTTCCTGTCAACTCTCACCAGCTTACCTGTCCCTGCTAAAGAAAAGCATCCCCAAACATGATGTTGCCACCATGTTTCACAGTGGGTTCAGGGTTAGTTTTCCGCCACACATAGCGTTTTGCTTTTAGACCAAAAAAGTTCAATTTTGATCTCATCAGACCAGAGCTCCTTCTTCCATATGTTTGTTGTGTCCCCCCTACCATCCCCCATGGCTTCTCGCAAACTGCAGACAAGACATCTTATGGCTTTCTTTCAATTTCAGATTTGTGGAGTGCACAACTAATAGTTGTCCTGTGGACAGATTCTCCCACTGAGCTGTGGATCTCTGCAGCTCCTCCAGAGTTAACATGGGTATCTTGGCTGCTTCTCTGATTAATGCTCTCCTTGCACGGCCTGTGAGTTTAGGTGGATGACCATGTCTTGGTAAGATTGCAGTTGTGCCATACTCTCCATTTTTGGATGATGGATTTAACAGTTCTCTGTAAGATGTTCAAAACTTGAATTTTTTTTTAGAACCTAACCCTGCTTTAAACTTCTCCACAACTTTATCCCTAACCTGCCTGGTGTGTTCCTTGGCCTTCATGATGCTGTTTGTTCACTAATGTTCTCTAACAAACCTCTGAGGGCTTCACAGAACAGCTGTATTTATACTGAGATTAAATTACACACAGGTGGACTCTATTTACCAATAGATGACTTCTTAAAGCAATTGGTTCCACTAGATTTTAGTTAGGGGTATCAGAGTAAAGGGGGATGAATACAAATGCAGCCACACTTTTCAGATATTTATTTGTAAAAGATTTTGAAAACCATTTATCCTTTTCCTTCCACTTCACAATTATGTGCCACTTTGTGTTGGTCTATAACATAAAATCCCAATAAAACATGTTTACGTTTTTGGTTGTAACATAACAAGATGTGGAAAGTTTCAAGGGGTATGAATACTTTTTCAAGGCACTGTATACACTGCTCAAAATAATTAAAGGAAAACTTTTTAATCAGACCGTTTTGGTTGTGGGTCAGTGATGGTCTGGGGAGGTGTATCCATGGAGGGACACACAGCCCTCTACAGGCTAGACAATGGCACTCTGACTGCCATGAGGTATCGGGATGAAATCTTTGTCAGACCCTATGCTGGTGCAGTGGGTCCTGAGTTCCTCCTGGTGCACAACAATGGCCGGCCTCATGTGGCGAGAGCATGCAGACAGTTCTTGGA